CACATCTACACTCTGCTAGTGATTGAAATAGAAAGGCACGTTCACATTTTACCGGATCCAGCACTTTATGTTTGGTATTATTTTGTTTCGACGTCGATAGGAACAGAAAAAAAATCCGGACGAACAACGAATCATTTAAACGACTCTGAGTCGAATCTTTCATTAAACAAGTCTATATTTTTAAACAAGGTGCACTTCAGATTTAAACCTCAGCTGGATGTTTTCATTCACTTAGAGCTGTGTTGCACACTGCATGGAAGGTCATTATCAAAAACCCAAGCTTTTTAAGGACATCTGTAATCTAGTGTGTTCCAAAACATTGACTAAATTCACATTTAAAACAAATAAACCTGCTATTAACATCCAAAGCTTTCAGTTTGTCACTTACATCACCTGACGTCACCTCATACTTTGGATTCTCATCAAATCGTCTGACCAATCAAATGCTCTATAGTGTCTGGCATGTCCCACCCACATTCTCATTTGCTTTTCATTTGATGCGCTTGACCTCAACCACTCTCACTGGCAGAGCTGTGATTCACAAAAAAAACCCTGTCGGCGCAATAGCCTAGTGGTTAGTGCGCTGACATATGGTAGCACCTCAGGGCGTCCCGAGTTCGAATCCAGGCTTGAGGACATTTCCCGTCCCTACGCCCTCTCTCTCCCACTTTGTTTCCTGTCTAAAATACTCTCCTATCCTCTCAAAAAAGGCCAAAAATAAATCTTAAATAAAAAAATGTTATTGGCTGTTTTAAAAAGGGGGTGGAGTTACTATATGTCCCGTCCTGTTTTCATGTTTCTGTAGAGATTACCACACCTCTAAAAGTTATTCAGTTATTGCTAAAAATTGATTCCCCTATGGGGAAAATGAATGTAGTTTTGACTTCCGGAAGCCACCTGTCCTGCTCCTCGTCCTTACTGTTATTTTGTCCTCTAGTTTAATTTGAAAAGCACACCTATAAGCTATCAGATCAACACCACCAGTTTAAAACTGTATGTCCTCTGGTTCTATTTTTAAACATGATCTAAAATTTCTATTTAGGTGCATAACTACCTCTTTCACGATATTAATAGTAGCATGTAACCCAAGATTGTCTATTTTTATACCTACCGCATTGTACTCACGCCAGTACGTCTGTTATAAAGTGGTAAACACCTCAGAGTATAAACGCGGCGTCTCTTCCATCACATTAAGGACTTGTTATTGTGATGGTTTTTGTAGGATTAGTCAGAGTTCTTGGGGAATGTGACACTCTGTCCCACACCACCTCCCACATAACTGTGAAGCAGCTTTGAGAAGCGTCCTCTTTATTTTTATACATAGTGAAACCGCAGAGGTTGCTGGGTGTAATAAATTCCGGGCTGTAGGACTCGAGGCAGACGTGGAAGTGCTGGGTCATGTTGCTCATGGACTTGAACCAAGAGGGGACCAAAATGAAGTAAAGGCCAGTAGGTTCATTGACGTGAGAGTTTTCAAGATGAAATGAAGGCAGGCGTCCAGGTTGCTTAATTCTCAGACTGATAGTGTTTTTTTATTTATTTATTTTTTTTTTTATAGAGTTTTAGCCAGCCTCTCAAGGAAAGTAACGATACATACTAGTGTAAGGGATTGTCAGTAAAGTGGCTGCTTGGAATTATGAATTCATGTAATTGCACTCGTGAAATTGATGAAAATAAAAATTGATGAAATGAAAACGTACATTTTTTAAAAGGAGGTGTAACCCCAGACTCTAATCTTACTCCTTATTGGTGGATGAGCAAAATGTATTTAAATGTACAGATGAGATCATACAAATTAGTAACCACTAAATCAATTAAATGTACATTTTAGGTCTGGGATAAGTGTTGAATTCATCATTGATTAAACGGTTAACACAGATTTCTAGTTTCATATATGGTCATATTCATATGCATTCTATGAAAGATATAATATTAGAGTATCCTGACCCCCAGACTTTTACCCTTTGCTCTTTTTCCCCTCAAAATTGCAAGGAACTTTTTTTAGAGCTTTGGAAAAGTTCAAGGTAGAGTTAAAAACTCCTTACTTGTTCCATGCCAGTTTATTTATTATTATTTTTTTTGTTGAAAAAAGAAAATACTTTGGAAACTCTAGGAAAAACAAATACAATGGATCTCAATATATGTTTAATATTATGTGTGATGAGTAAAGTATGTGTTGTCAGCATTTTTATTATCATCAATTTTGAAAATGGTTGTACTGCTTGGCTTTTGCCATGACTTTTATTTTGATGCATCTTAATGCATGCCTAATAAATAAACCTAATAATTTCTTTAAAAAAATAATAATAAATAACAAGCTCCTTAAAACTTGAGTGATTGTGCAGGCAATATGAATTAAAAAAAAAAAAAAACCCAACAGTTGGGTTTGTCCATAGTTTAAATAAAATTGGGTTAGGGCTGTGCAATTAAATGAAAATCCGATTTCGATTTTGGCTTCTAACGATTATGAAAAACCATTAATCGAGATACACGATTATTCCATCATATACTACCCCCTTTCCAGTTGTACACATTTGTTGCTCTGCAAAGCTCAGTTCCACGTGAAAATGACTAAAAGCATGTGCTGTAATGTAACGTTTGCAGCATGTGATGCGCTTCATTCATTGATTTACGTTCGAATCATTCATATTTTTAAAAGCGTGTAGGGACGGATGTTTATTTTTATTGTTCTCTGATCCTCGGATTAAGTTAAGTTCCTTGTTGTGTTATTTATTGGCTAGCTGCAATCGCTGGTGTCTGTAATCAGTTTTGCACATAGTAACTAGATTAGGGTGAAGTCTAAACCTCTAATGTTTTGCTCAGTCATTCGCTAATTTTTCTGTAACGCATGGCTGTTTTTGTCAGCAGCATAAGTAAGCTCTACATAAGTTGATGTGTTTCTCATATTTAACCAAACCATGCCTCAGGAAAATGGCCTTGATTCCCATCTACATATGTTCAATGTTACATTTCCTACATTCCAACTGGAGAAAACAAGTGCAGTCTGTCAAGAAATGTCCTTCATAGAGACCCTGAAGGAGAGAAATATATATCTGCTTTTGGAGAAGAGCTATTTGTAGTTTATTTCTGACAAGGATGTGTCACAGAGGACTGGTAAATGTAGCATCATCTCTTCGAGGGATTATATAACATCAGTGACCTTAACAGTATTGGCTGACACGTGCATATTTTTAATGTTATCTAGAACAGGGCTGTCTAATTCCGTTCTTGGAGATCTACCTTCCTCCAGTATTCAGCTCCAACCCTGATCAAACACAACTAAACCAACTAACTGCGTTCACACCAAAGTAACAAGAGTGTTAAGGTTCACTTTGGCCGCCCTGGCGACAACGCTCTCTGCCTTTACTGCTCCACCGGCGAGAGTGTTAAAACTTGCTATATTGATCTCGTATTTAAAGGGGCCGTTATAAATAATTGGAAATCCGGCAACTGCAATAATCAAACCATTGGGAACAACTGTGGTCAGAACCAAAGTTCATAGGACTGTGTTCTTTGGACTCCTCTCAATCGGTGGACTTCAACATTCCGATTGCTTGCCATCGAACTGCGTCATAGCTCTTTGTCATAAAGTTGCCTTGACTTCAACTTTCTCAATGCCCACCTTGCTGAAGATGCACCATACCACTCCTCGCAGCTTATCGGCACCAGTTCGCATTGAAAATGATTGACGTCCGGCTATTTTGACGCTCTTGTCGCTTTCTGTACACAGTAAAACTGCGGTCACACTTGGCTTTTCTCCCTATAGACTTCCATTCATACGCACGCGAATGCATCAGACCGGAAACGCAGGGTCATGCGTTAAGGTTCGCAGGTCGCTGTGGTGCAAAGTTCAAGCTTGGTGAACTCTGACCTGCGAAATTGCATCACTTGACTGCTTGAGACCAATCGAGGATCAAAACACGGTTTTTTTAATGTCTAAAAATCTTATTTAATCTCGCCCCTTTGTGCAGCGCCGTATGACAGAATTTCGCACACACAAACTCTAGTGTGACCGCAGCTTTAGTAGGATCTGAAGGAGCACTTGGTAATTACAGAGCGGTGTGTTTGATCAAGGTTGCAGCTGAACTGAACTCTGCAGAAGGCAGATCTCCAGGAACAGAACTGACCACCCCTGATCTAGATGTTTCCTCATTGGTTTCTCGTTTTCTACATTTAAAGTTAGTTGTAGTAGTATCAGTAGTAGTAGTAATTGTTGTAGTAGTATCAGTATTAATAGACATTGTAGTAGTTGTAGTCGTGGTTGTGGCTGTAGTTGCAATATTGTTTATTATTTATTATTGTTTATTGTATTGCAATAAGTTGTAGTAGTTGTAATATTACTTTCTGTAGCAGTAGTTGGTGTAGTACTTCTGATTTATTATTATTGTTGTTGTCAGTTATTATTACTGTTGTCCTTTCTTTCTTTTTACTGTCATTATTTTTTTTCATACATTACAAGCATTGTTGTTACTCCTTAACACTGACTGGTTTCTTTCTGTATGTTTTATTTATATCTGTGATACTTGCTTCATTTATTGACTGTTATTGTCCTTTATGTATGTACCCTGACCTGTCCACCAAGTTACCTGTACATGCACACACACATACACGCGCGCACACACACACGCACATACCAATACCTGACTATATTGTTGTTGTTTTTGTTTTGTCTTTGTTGATGTTTCTTTGTATTTGTATGATTCCAGTTTATGTACCTTTTTGGATATTCTAAAAAATAAATAAATAAATAAATTAAATTAAAGCTAGTTGTCTACTGTATTTGTTTGTGTTGACCATTTGACCATGCTTAGGAAAATACATGTGTAATTATTGGTCTATATATTGGCAATCGACTACCAAATTTTGGTTATTGATATCAGCCAACATTTTTATAGATGTGCATCCCTAATATCTCACCCCACTTCACTTTTCCAGTGTTTTGAAATATTGAACTGTCAAAGGATGTCTTTTAAAGTATCTTTTCTTTCTCTCTCTTCCAGCTATGTGCCTGTTGTGTGTGAATAATGCACAGTGATGGTGCCTTCTCAGACCCATGTGATGCTCAAGTGGCAAGAGCACCTGAACAGCTCCTGGGCGGCGGAGGACAGTGTTCAGACTGCCACACGGCATGGAGCGGCTGCTCTCTATGCAAAACTGCTCTACAACAAGGAGGTTGTAGGATTGGCCCAGCCGGTGCAAGACCTAATGGGTCCACGCTTGCCTGACTTCCAGTACGAATCCAGCGCTGAGGAGGAGAAGGAGGAATACCTATCTGCGCTCCTCCACAGTCAGAGATGCCTGGCTCATCGCATGCTAGCAAGGACCCCCTTTGCTCTTTCCCTCCACCACAGGCTGGTGATCCTCCAGAGGGTGTTTTACGCCCTCCATAGCAAATATCATGACCGATTCAGAGCACCACTACCTCCCCAAACCTCATCCTCCAGTGCCGAAGGGGGTGCCCTGGAGTCGGTGTCTGAGCCTTGGCCAACAGGAAGCTCCCGTTCCAAGACTGGCACTGACGTCCTTATTGAAATGGGGGTCAGAACTGGCTTGAGTCTCCTTTTCGCACTTTTAAGGCAGAGTTGGCAGCGGGGTCGTCTTGAGAATCCACCGGATGTTGCTTTGTGTAATGAGGTATTGGCCACCGCATCTTCAGTCCTGGCCGCCTTGCCTCCCCTTTCCTTGGCCAACGAGAACAAGATACCAACAGTGGGGCTTGACTGTCTTGCGCAAGTTGGGGACTTCCTGAAGAAGACTGCAGTCAGTGGGTCTGGGGCGGACCGGGCGGGTCGCAGGCTTGCCCTCGAGCTCCTCCTTTCGCTAGCTTTACAAAGGGGGTCCTTGCGCTTCCTTCTGGAGTGGGTGGAGGTAGCATTGGCCGCCTCTGCTTCTTCCAACACCTCTGAGACAGTTGGAGTGGGCTACGAGCTGATTCATCAAACCCTACAACAGATGCGCCAGCACACGGTGTGTTCCTACGCCATGCGGTCGACCTAGCGGTCATGCTAATAGCATGAGTGAAGTAATATACAGTAATACTAATGGATAATGGCCACTAATATAGAAAGCTGTGCCTCTTTCACAAGAAGAGAGAGTATAGAGTTACAATACTGAGGCTAGCCTAATACGTTTCTCCATTTGTTCATCCCTCCCTCAGCACTTAAAGGAAATCATTGTTGATAATTGTTACTGCTAATACATTAGCGCCATACAGTAGTTCACCATTATTCTGTATTCTTCTCATGGAAGCGAGCACTGAACATTTCTCCTTGCTCTAAATAAGATTGTGGCTTTCATTTGACCGGGAGCTCTTGGCCGCCTTCCCAGCTCTGAAAGCTGCCTGAGCCACACCAGACCTGCCATGTGCTGTGCTCTAATTTATTCATGTCTTAATCAATGAGAAATATGGCTACTTCAAGGCTTTTGTGCTTGAAGTTCAGCAGAACTGCTTTGTTTATAGATTCTCCTACTCCAGAGTACAAAGTTAATTCGTTCTCGGAAACGCCCAGCTGGTTAAGCACATTGGTGAAGTAGAGCCAGTATTTAAATTCAATATTAACAATAATGAAGTACATATAATAATAACTCAATATATATTAGTAACCTGGCATTGATATTAACTTTTTTTGATCACAAGCCACTGTGGCTAGTAGTTTCCAATTTTACTACTAGCCACTTTACTTTGCCATTGTCACTAGCCACAATTTTGTTGTTGGGAAAGTATATTTTAAATGCATAAATTTTGACTTTGGCCAGTTGCGTTTTAAGGCACAGTTGCTTTGTGCAAGGAAAAGGGACATGGAAGCTTTAAAGCAATCACCTGTGTGCATGACACTGTCGTCAGTTAGCGAGGATCGCTTTCTTTTGCTCACGCGAACACTTTTCAGTCGTGCTGCTTCTCGATTCTAAGATCACATTTGCGAGCATATTGACAAACGGTCTTAAACTAAAATGCTAATCTTTAAAGAGGAGACAGCACTGGCAATTTAAAAATGATCCAACCAACCAAAGTGGCTAATGGGGGTGTCTGCTTACCCAAAACAGGTGAAATCTACCCGTCTTTGACGGGTTGGTTAATGTCAAGCCCTGTTAGAAACATACATAGAAAAAAAAAAACATACATACTGTTGAAGTCCGATTTATTATAGCCCTCTTTGATTTTTCTTTTTAAAATATTTCCCAAATGATGTTAAACAGATTCAGGAAATTTTCACAGTATGTCTGATAATATTTTTTTCTTCTGAAGAAAGTCTTATTTATTTTATTTTAGCTAGAATAAAAGCAGTTTTTATTATTTTAAAAGCCATTTTAAGGTCAGAATTATTATTCCCATAAGCTTTTTTTTTTTTTTTTTTTGATAGTCTACAGAACAAACCATCATTATACAATAACTTGCCTAATTACCCTAACCTGCCTAGTTAACCTAATTAATCTTTATATACACAGTTAAAGTCAGAATTATTACCCCCTCCCCTGTTTATTTCTTTTCCCCAATTTTTGATAATTGGTAAGAAGATTTTTTTCAACACATTTTTAAATATAATAGTTTTAATAACTCATTTCTAATAACTGATTTATTTTATCTTTGCCATGATGGCAGTAAATAAAAATTGGCTAGATATTTTTCAAGACACTTCTATAAAGCTTAAAGTGACATTTAAAGGCTTAACTAGGTTAATTAGGTTTACTAGGTAGGTTAGGCTAATTAGGCAAGTTATGTAAAACAATGGTTTGTTCTGTAGCCTGCAGAACATAAATATATAGTTTAAAGGGGCTAATAAGTTTGACCTTACAATGTTTTTTTTTAAATTAAAAACTGCCTTTATTGTAGGCAAAATAAAACAAATAAGACTTTCTCCAAAAGAAAAAAATATTATCAGAGATACTGTGAAAATTTCCTTGCTCTGTTAAACATCATGAGGGAAACATTTAAAAAAGAAACAAAATATTCAAAAGGGGACTAAAAATTCTGACTTTAACAGTATATATATATATATATATATATATATATATATATATATATATATATATAAAATTTTCAGATTTGTTTAAAATGAGTTTCTCCTTAAAAAAAACAAAAAAATCTGCCAGTTGGATAAGCAAAATAATCTAAATAGACAAAACCTCTGAGAAAGAAAATAATTTTGTTACAGTGTATATGATAATCTAGCCAAATATATCTACACATGATTATTGTTCCACATTGCCCAGCCCTATTTTCACAGCTAATAGTCTTCAGTAGGCACGGTTCCGCTAAAAAAACATCCAAGTGTCATACGAAAGCTGTCAGTCATTTTGCTTCTACAGTAGTTTATTATATTTGAGCTATCCGCTTGTTAAGTGGTGACGTGTTTGTGACGCATGTCATACTGTTTCCGGGTCCAAGCCGCCATTCATTTGAGTGGAGAAATCATTCGTTTATGATCACGTTTTATTCATATCACACATTAAAGTTAATTTTATAAAAAAAATCAAAGTGTACACAACAATCTCTGGGCTTGCTGCATAACAAATACCAAAAATGTAACAATTTATAAAAAAATTAATCACTTTCTGGCCATCGGATATTAGGCATGGACATATATACTATGATCGGGATTTTCGAAAGCATTAAATCGCTTTGTAAACGTTTATTATTATCATTTCATGAGTCTCCCCATTCAGTTGAATAGAGCGCTTGGAAGCCGCTTCACGTGACGTCACACTTAACAAGCGGATTCACTGTAGCACCAGTTTGTCATTTGTTCTAGCTGCTAACATTATTGTATTTTTTGTTATTGTTTGTTTTTACAGGCTGTTCGTGGTGAATCCGTCAATACTCAGGTGCTGAAGAAAGATGCAGACGGACTCTGCAGCCTCTCGCATGTTGCTCTCTGCCTTTTCGAAGAGGTCTGTTTGTGCAAAGTGTTTACAGACTGTAATATAAGCTTTTATTAAGAACTTCTCCAAAACTATGTGAGCAAAATTTTGCTACCGTTTACTCCCCATGTACCTATTCCAGATCTTTTGTAATTGTTTTCTTCTGTTGAGCACAAAAAGCTATTTATCTTATCCCTAAAATTGACAGTTTCAGCAGCACATAATAAATGGCCTGATTGGAATTTTGTGCTGAAACTTCACAGACGCATTCTGGAGACACCAAAGACTTATTTTACATCTTGTAAAAAGGGCAAAACAGTAAAGTAAATCTTTAATATTTGTGTATGTTGCAGATATGCACTCTGGCCTCCAACTGCTTGTGCTCATGCAGCGCAGGCTCTTCCTCTTCCTCCGGCTCGGAGAACGATACAGTCATGGTGTATGTGTGGGGCAGCAACAGCAGCCATCAGCTCGCCGAGGGAACGCTGGAGAAGATATTACAGCCCAAACTAGCTCAGGGCTTCAGCGACGCACAAATGGTGTGTGGGTTTATTTTACTCGAGTGTATTGGCAATTCAAATAACTGGAAGCCATTGTGATGCCAATATTAGTTCCAACAGAGTCCGCATGAGGAGGAGGAAATGGATCACTTGGAAAAAAAAGTTAATGAGAGATTGTCATGTTTATTTTAACAGTTAAAAAAGGGATTTAAGTTAAAACTTAAATAAAATTCAGTCAGATTTTATGCATATTCATTTATTCATTTTCTTTTCGGCTTAGTCCCTTCATTAATCTGGGGTCGCCACCTCGGAATGAACTGCCAACTTATCCAGCATATGTTTTATGCAGCGTATGCCCTTCCAGCTGCAACCTATTACTGGGAAACATCCATACACACTCATTCACACACACACACACACACACACACACACACACACACACTCATACACTACGGTCAATTTTAGCATACCCAATTCACCTGTACCACATGTGTTTGGACTGTTGGGAAAACAGAAGCACCTGGAGGAAACCCATGCCAACATGGGGAGAACATGCAAACTCCACACAGGAATGCTGAGGCTCGAACCAGCGACCTTCTTGCTGCAAAGCGAACATGCTACCCACTGCTCCACCGCGTCAACTGATTTTATGCATATGCTGTTACTATTCAAATTTTAGATTGATTAAATATTTTGGCAAAATTTTAGTACATATGATGACTTCGGACTTCCTTAAGACTTTCTGTTTGACTGAAAAAATAGTACATTTATTAGTTGCCTCCAAGGAGATAAGTCATATAGGGCCAAAATTATTATTATTTTTTTAAATATGGATATTAAAAAGAGATTATTTTAGGGCAGCATATTTCAATTCAATTTTGAAATTCAATATTTCAAAATAAATTTGTATTGCATGCTTTTATATTTTAAATATATAAAATACACATTTATAAAAATATATATATATTTATATTGTTTTGTAAATTTAATGATTATATATAAGTTTATTTATGTGTGCATTATTAGCATTATTTTCCAGGTTATAAGGTATATCAGGTATTTATTTATTTATTTATTTGTGCATTATAAGCCCTATTTTCCAGCTTATGAGATATATCAGTTATTTGTTTATTTGTTTATGTATGCATTATTAGCATTATTTTTCAGGTTATAAGGGAAATCTGTTATTTATTTATTTATTTATTTATTTATTTATTTGTTTGTTTGTTTATTTATTTGTTTATTTATGTAAGAATTATTCGCATTATTTTCCAGGTTATAAGGTATATCAGGTCTTTCTTTCTTTCTTTCTTTCTTTCTTTCTTTCTTTCTTTCTTTCTTTCTTTCTTTCTTTCTTTCTTTCTTTTATTTATTTATTTATTTATTTATTTATTTATTTATTTATTTATTTATTTATGTGCACATTACTATAATTATTTTCCATGTTATAAGGTATATCAGGTATTTATTTATTTATTTATATATTTATATGTGCATTATTAGCTTTATTTTTAAGTTTAAAATATATATCATTTATTTATTTATTTATTTATTTATGTATGCGTTATTAGCATTATTTTCCATGTTGTAAGGTATATCAGTTATTTATTTATTTATTATTTTTTATGTGCATATTATTATAATTATTTTCCTTGTTATAAGGTATATCAGTTATTTATGTATTTGTTTGTTTATTTTGTATTTGTTTATTTATTAATTAATTAATTTTATTTATTTATGTGCACATTATTAGCGTTATTTTTCAGAGTATAAGGTATATCAGGTATTTATTTATTTATTTATTTATTTATTTATATGTGCATTATTAGCTTTATAAGTAAATAAGTTATAAGTAAATATAAGTTTAATGTTATTCATAAAACAGTCAGCCTGGTATAGCTGGAATACATGCTATACCTTTGTTATACCTTACCTAACAAAGGTATAGCATGTATTCCAACTATACCAGGCTGACTGTTTTATGAATAATATTAAACTTATATTTACTTATAACTTATTTACTTATTATATTTACCTATATCTCTTGTCAGCTAAAAATTCATTCTATTCTCTCAAATATAGATATATGTTGTACAAAGTTTGATTATCTGATCTGAAGTTGTCTTCAGACCAAGCATTCTCTTTTTTCTAATACAGATGTCTTTTCATTATTACTGAGAAATGCAATTTAGAGAACAGCAGGTGCATCTAAATAAACTGTGCTCTTTCACTAATACTGTTTAGACATCCTCAATCATACTTGATTCAATTCACTCTGCTCTAAACAGTGCTCTTCTCTTTCCACCTGCAGATTGAGGCAGGCCAGTACTGCACGTTCTCTGTATCCGCTGATGGGGCAGTGAAGGCTTGTGGGAAGGGTAGTTATGGCCGGTTGGGACTTGGAGACTCTAATAACCAGTCCATGCCCAAAAAGCTGGTTCTAGAGCCTCCGCGCACCATGAGGAAAGTGTCGTCTTCTAAAGGGTCAGACGGACATACGTTGGCCGTCACAGCGGAAGGAGAGGTGTTTAGCTGGGGAGATGGAGATTATGGCAAACTGGGCCACGGGAACAGTGCCACACAGAAATACCCCAAGATTATACAAGGCCCTCTATTGGGAAAGGTGCGAAATGGTGTTATTTTTTGTTTCTGCTGATACAAGTTATATTTATGGAAAGTATTCATAGCGCTTCACTTTTTCCATGTTTTTTTATGTTACAGCCTTATTCCAAAATAGATTAAGTTAATTTATTTCCTCAAAATTCTTCACACAATACCCCATAATGATGATGTGAACAAACGATTTGTCGAAATTGTTGCAAATTTATTAATTAAAATAAAAACCCTGAAAAATCACCTGTACATAAGTATTTACAGGCTTTGCCGTGAAGCTCTAAGCTGAGCTCAGGTACATTCTGTTTCCACTGATCATTTTTGAGATGTTTCAGCAGCTTAATTGCAGTTCACCTGTGGTAAATTCAGTTGATTGGACATGATTTGAAAAGGCATAAACCTGTCTATATAAAGTTCCACTGTTGACAGTGCGTTTCAAAGCACAAACCAAGCCTGAAGACAAAGGAATTGTCTGTAGACATCCAAGACAGGATTGTCTCAAGGCACAAGGCTGGGGATGGTTACAGAAAAATTTCTGCTGCTCTGAAAGTTCCAATGAGCACAGTGGCCTCCATCATCCGTAAGTGGAAGATGTTTAAAACCACATGGACTCTTTCTAGAGCTGGCTGGCCATCTAAGCTGAGTGATCGGGGAAGAAGGGCCTTAGTCAGGGAGGTGATTAATAAACTGATCGTCACTTTTTGTGAGCTCCAGAAATCTTTTGTGGAGAGAGGAGAACCTTACAGAAGGACAACCATCTGTGCAGCAATCCACCAATCAGGCCTGTATGGTAGAGCAAACAGACAGAAGCCACTCCCTGCCTGGAATTTCTCAAAAGGCATCTGAAGGACTCTCTGACCATAAAAAAACAAATTCTCTGGTCTGATTAAACTAAAATTTAACTCTTTGGAGTGAATGCCAGGCATTACGTTTGGGGAAAAAAACAGGCTCTGCTCATCACCAGGCCAATACCATCCTTAGAGTGAGGCATGGTGGCGGCAGCATCATGCTGTGGGGATGTTTTTCAGCTGCAGGAACTGGAAGACTATCAGGATAGAGGGAAAGATGAATGCAGCAATGTGCAGAGACATCCTGAGAGAAAAACTGCTTCAGAGTGCTCTTGACCTCAGACTGGGATGACGGTTCATCTTCCAGCAGGACAATGACCCAAAGCACACTGCCAAAATATCAGTGGAGTGGCTTCACAACAATTCAGTGATTGTCCTTGAGTGGCCCAGCCAGAGCCCAGAGCTAAATCCTATTGAATATCTCTGGAGAGATCTGAAAATGACTGTCGCTTCCCATCCAAGCTAATAGAGCTTAAGAGGTACTGTAAAGAGGAATGGGCAAAACTTCCCAAAGACAGGTGTGCCAAGCTTGTGGCATCATATTTAAAAAGACTTGAGGCTATAATTGATGCCAAAGGTGCTTCAAGAAATTCTTGAGCAAAGACTGTGAATACTGATGTATTTTTTAATAAATTTGAAAAAATTTAAAAAACTCTTTTTTCACATTGTCATTATGGGGTACTGTGAGTGTAGAATGTTGAGGAAATTAATGAATTTAATTCATTGTGGAATAAGTCTGTAACATAAAAAATGTGGAATTGGTGAAGCGCTATGAAAACTTCCCGGATGCACTGTAGGTTTAAAAATGGTTCTTTTACGTCCAGTGTTGTGTTTATATTCATGATCGTGTTAATTTATGTAGCACAGTGATCTTGCAAAACAAGACATTTCATTCCACTTTATGTACACTCATGAAGGAATAACAATAAATTTTACTTGACTTGAATTGACTTGACTGGACTAAATGAGATCACTATAGAAACTGCATTGCAACATCAGTAAGCAATGCTATAGCAAGTCCAGAAGTTGCTAGCAACAACATTACATGTCAAATCAATCCCAATAACAATAAATCATTATAATGCCCTAGCAGCCGTCTTTATGTCTATAGTGTTTTACACAATGTAGATCGTTTCAAAACACTTTACAGAGATAAGACAAAGAAAGTCTGATATGACATGAATTTGAACTAGGTTCAATATAGCAAACTTTTGTGCAAAAAGGCTGTTTTAAAATGGTGAAATTGATCTGCTAACATTAGCATTGGGGCACACGGATTGCCACAGTCTCCATGATACAATATAATCACATTATTAGTGTCACAAAACAATATTATTGCGTTTTTAAATATAAATATTGCCATATATTGAAATTTATGACCTTTTCGCAACTTTGAAAAGGAAACCTTCTGCAACAATCATTTGAAATAAGTAAAAACAATTCTCAGTTTATTTATTTTAATAAAGTTGTATTGCTTCATTGCTAAATGGTATTGTCAAGCGGACAAACTGACCAACACTTTAATAATAATACATATTATTTTTTAACTATGTGCTGCTGCTTTCAGTATATGGAAGTATATAGAAGTTAATTGAATTATATAGAAGTTTCTAATATATCAATTCAAGGTGTTAGTTAGAAAAAAAAACTCCTTTTAATATGGAGAATATTCCGTCTATCACGTGTTGTTGCTTTCATTTAGAACACAACTTAAGTCAGCCTTTAGGCTTGATAGTCAGGCACTGTTGGTGCTGTGCTTGGGTGTGTTTTGATCCAGGAATGCAATACCTTGTTCAACCACTGGTTGTCAAACTTGCATACTGTACCTTTAAACAATGTTTAATGGGTAGCCAGTGCATCATGAACAGGACCTGACTAATATAATCATACCTTTTGCTTGTGTGTGTTGCAGGTGGTGGTGTGTGTGTCTGCTGGATACAGACACAGCGCTGCAGTGACTAATGATGGAGAGCTGTACACCTGGGGGGAAGGAGACTTCGGTCGACTCGGTACATCACTCTCCTCTTATAGACCCTCAAACATCACTACACACACACATTTGAGTGTCTGCTCTCAGATATGGTGTTGTCAGTGAAATACAATTCGCTATTGATTTTTGTGTGAGGTGGTTTTTAAGGTTTTGACTGACTGCTGTGCACAGTACGCACTGCAGAGAAGGTTTTTTTTTATTACTGATCTGCAGAGAAATAATTATCAGAGAGGCGACTGGATGCCTCAAACTGAGTCAGACTCTTGTGTCAGAAGTTCTGTCTCAGTTTTTTTCTGTGTCTATGATTAGTAAAAGCTTTTATTCATGAAACATTTTAAGGGAAGTGTTCAAACCGGGGTAATTCTTGAGGAATTTTAGAATATTTATCTTTGATCTAATGGTGTATATGCACACAGACTTTTAAAGAGCCCCCATTTTGCATTATAAAATGGCATATTTTGGTTTTGGAGATCTCCAACAACAGACTATGCATGCAAGGTCAAAAAACACGTTCATTTTCTGATTCATTTGTTGCCAAACTCCTTCTTAGATTGAGGCTAATCTGCTGTGATTGTTCCGATGACCCAGTCTGTTGTGATTGGATGACTTGGTTCAGCGAGAGACAGAGAGAAAAACTCACCATGGCTATAAAGTAGCAGAGAGTGTGTGAGAGCCCAATGCAGGAATGCAATAAAGCAATGTAGTTAAACACCAGCATATTACTCTACCCTTAACGCTAACTCCAAGTAATAACAATGACACACATTCAGTATTAATAACATGGTAGCAAAAGTTGAGCCATAGCAAAGACAAATGGCAAAGTATTGCGAGTTCAGAAACGCATTTTAATTTGTAAAGGTAAAGCACTCTTGGCGTTTTCAACAAGGTTTTGGAAACAGTATGTGAATGGCCCCATAAAAATATAACCTGAGTGATACAGTACAAGCACTGATCTATATAAGATAAGTGATTACATGCCATGCGGGGCGATTACAACTTATAACACATCAATCAATCAATCAATCAATCAATCAATCAATCAATCAATCAATCAATCAATCAATCAATCAATCAATCAATCAATCAATCAATCAATCAATCAATCAATCAATCAATCAATCAATCAATTATCTGTTCTTAAACGAATCAATCAATGAATCAATTATTCATTGTCAATCAATCAATCAACCAGTCAATGAATCAGTTATCTTTTCTTGAAGCAATCAATCAATTAATTTTTTAGTCAGTCAGTCAATCAATCAATCAATCAATCAATCAATCAATCAATCAATCAATCAATCAATCAATCAATCAATCAATCAATCAATCAATCAATCAATCAATCAATCAATCAGTTATCTGTTCTTGAAACAATCAATCAATCAATTATTTATTTAATCAATCAATCAATTAATCAATCAATCAATCAATCAATCAATCAGTTATTTGTTCTTGAAGCAATTAATCAATTATTCATTCATTTAATCAATCAATCAATCAGTTATTTGTTTTTGAATCAATTAATCAACTATTGAATTAATCAATCAATCAATTAATCAATCAATTAATCCTTCTGTCCATGATGTAGGTCACAGTGACAGTCACAGTCGCAATGTGCCAACTCTTGTGAAGGACATTAGCGGGGTCGGGCAGGTGGCCTGTGGAAGCTCACACACCATCGCTGTGGCTCAGGACGGACGAATCGTCTGGTCATTTGGAGGAGGAGACAACGGTAAACTGGTGTTTCATAGTTTGTGCACTTCTGTGGTAGTTTACTTCTTTAACTTTTTGCCCTAGACATCCACATCCATACTAGAATCATTATTTAAATTACCTTGCCTATTTTTCATGATCTGAAAGGACTTTACCAAAAAAAAAAAAAAAAAAAAAGATTACACATGGCTGTTTTTAGGTGAAATTTAGTAAACAGTCTCTCAGAAGAAACATGCTATTTCCTGAAAGACAAGCCTCAAAATTCTTAATAAATACTTTTTTACATAGAAAGTGATATAGATTTTACCTGGAATTTCACATAGACAGATATTTCCGCTAAAGAAAAAGAATTTTATTCATTTATTTTTTGCCGTGACTGACACCGAATAATAAATGGAGTTTCTTCTACTGACGCTCCATGACTCACTGACTTCATCTGGTTTTATGCTTAAACTATGTTGAATAATAAATATTTATTGGTTTAGTTATGTTTAAACTATTTTTAGGCAAATATTTATTACTTATTTATCTGTTTATTGTTTCTGTTTTAGTGTTCGATTTATTATTTGTTGTCTGTTTGTGTTTTTAATTGTTTATCCACCATCCAATTGTTTTTGTTTTTATTGATCTTTTTCTTTTGACTCATTTCCTTCATTTATATCTGTATTTATTTTGTTTGTTTACTAGTTTTATTTTTCATATTTCTATATCTAATTTTATAAATTTTTTATTTATTCATTTTTAGTTTTGTCGGTCTCTATCAATAAATATCCAACTTAATGCGGTTCTAGTTCATTTAAACAACAATATTTTGTGCATTTCACTACCAAAACTTTTTTTTTTAATTTAAGTTCACCAAGTGGAAAAATACTGCAAAAATACATTTATTTTTTTCCAAGTGAATTAAATAATTTGATCAAAACTTGATCTTTTATATTTCACAAAACATATACCAGCGGTAAACATAAGTTTTGCTTTTTGTTAATATACATTCTCAATAAAAATAATTTTGCTTGTACCAAACTGTAAAGCTGTACACCCTTTATAGTGCTCTTTTCTCAGAGTGAGTAGGCCATAGGTACATTCACTTTTTTCATAACCAGATAATCCAGAAAAATCCTCTAATACAGCACAATCAGCATAACATGTACAGACAGGCTTAAACATGTTTAAAATGAAGCTGTTGCGAGCTGTTTCAATAGATAGAGAGCCAGCACAGACAAAACCTGTGGATATAACACACCTTAAGGAAATCTGTGTGCTTGTGTTACAGGTAAACTGGGACATGGAGACACAAACCGTGTGTACAGGCCTAAAGTGATAGAAGCCCTGCATGGCTTCATTATCAGGAAAGTGTGTGCAGGTAGCCAGTCGTCACTGGCTTTGACATCTGCTGGCCAGGTAAACACAAACTCCCAGTGTTCAGTGACAGTGTTCTGTCCTACGCTAATATTGGAACTCATTGATAAAAATGAGCAAAGAAAACTGTTTGTTTGTTGTTTATGTTTCCGTTCACCTGTTTTTTAGGTTTATTTTGGAATATTGCACAAAAAAACCTTAATGAAACACCCAGATGCGCATAACTATTTGAGTAAGGGCCTACTCACACTATGCTATCCGAACTGTGCTCTGGCCCGTTTCCTGGATCGTTTGAAAAGTGTGAGTGCTCTGAATTGGGCTCACTGAGCGCGGTTCACTTGGGGTTTGGCGCGGTAAGGTTGTGTGTGAGTGCAAAATGCGCCAAAGCCCGAAACTGAAAGTGAGACGTGACATTTAAAGGACTGTTTCATAAGGATTTATTATTGATTTTTACTGTTCAATGAACGCAAACTGTTGTAGTTTATCAAAGACACAAACTCCTCACTGCGCCACAGCTGTGCACCTTCAGCAAACCTCCTAATTCCTGCAGCACGAGGACTTTATGATTGTTTATGAGCGTCAAAAGTGGCTGATCTGTTCGGCGAAATATTTGAGTGCGTCACTGCATCTCGAACAATTTAAACGATATAACTAGAACTGTGCTGAGCGAGAGCGCTTCTGACCAGTGCATCATCGATAGCGTAAGCGTGCCTAGGCCCGAATGTAATGTGAGCGCGGGCCAATGGGGGAGACGGGAGGGGGGACAAGTGTGCTTTGGCCCGGTTCAAGGCAACTGTACGTTCTGTGTGAGTACGCCCTAAAATGAACTTTTTTGGGGGGGTGTGAGGGGAAGGCTATGTCACAGACGAAAGTGAAGAGCAGACGGAGGAGGAGGGCGGTTGAGGAGGGGGATTGGGAAAATGATTTGCCAGATCAGATTTCAGAGGTTCCGGATCCGACGTGTTCCGGCACAGATTAAGCCCTGTGTGTTTGGCCATACACCCACAGCGCTTCACAATAATAGACTGATTTCACGCGGCCGCCATTTTTAAAAGCGAAATCGAGGCTGTGGTGGGAAAAAACCCGGAAGTATCATTGGGAGTTACATAGGAACGTTGTGTACCTGGCTGTATATCTTATCAGCGACGAGAAAGTGACACACATTTATAACTTCTCTACCTTCCGATGACCCGAAGGTTCTTTCTGAATGAATGGTGAATAAAATAAGGGATATCAGAGCTCATTTTTAGCTAAGTTAAGGGAAATGGCACTAGTTAGCTAACGTTTTCTTTCCCAAACACACGTTTTAGATGCCTTTTATCAAACTCGAGTTAATAAACTGATTCTTTCACCTTATCAGACTTGTCACGATACTGAATTAAAAGAAAAACCTTCAATTTCCCGTTAACACTGTTGATGGCTTACTTAAAACAGCGCTGATTTGCCATTGTGTTCACGTGCTCAACAGAAATGACTGTGATTGGCCGAGAAGGTCATCAGTTCAGCCTCCGTTGTTTACAGAGTACAAACACAGACGAGTGATCTGCTTGAGGACTCGACTGATCTTCACGGCTGCTTTGCGCTCCAGTGTCCGTGTATCTGTGTTTGCACTGGGTGAAGAGCGGTAAACTGATGAGCACTAGTGAATACTATGGTAAATCAGCACTGTTTATGAACGCACTCAGCGGTGCTTGAATGTAAACAGGAAATGGACAATTTTAAAACTTCAGTACCGGGACAACATGAGGATGTGCTACTGAGGACTGCAGTGTTTTATCACTCACCGGGTTACATAGGCTGAAGCAGGAAAGCATATTACTCTTGAAGAGATTGAGATGTTGTTTGATGCTAAATTGCTTTTAATTGTTTAAATTAAACTTACAGAATGACATTAAAGTGATGTTTACACCATTTCTGCATTTTAAAATCTCGGCAACAGCTGGAGGTTAATAGTCCACAGCATGTTACTGCAATGTTTACAGTGCTGGTCCTATACTTCCGGGTTTCTTCCCACCGCAGCCTCGCTTTGGTTCTTAAAATGGCGGCCGCGTAAAAAAAACATATGGGGCGGTTTCTCCACACCACCACCAGCGTGCAATGGCGCCAGTGCTCTCACCACATACCAACTATTGGTGGAGTAGAGAGACAGAGATGAAGCCAATTCGATGGATGGGGAATGATTAGGAGGCCATGATGGGTATGAGCTGATGGAGAGAATTTGGCATGTTACACCCCTACTCTTTAGGAGAAGTGCCATGGGATTTTTAATGACCACATAGAGTCAGATCCTCAGTTTAACGTCTCATCCAAAAGACGGCGCTTACTGACAGCATAGTGTCCACTTAACTTTACTGGGGCATCAAGACCCCCTGCTGGCCTCACTAACACCACTTGCAACAGCAATCTAGTTTTCCCATGTGGTCTCTCATCCAGGTACTGACCAGGCTCAGCCCTGCTTAGCTTCAGTGACTAACCGGTCTTGGACTGCAGGGTGATATCGCTGTGGCACTAGTCGTTTATTACATTTAAAAAATTATTTGTTCAAACTACTTACTTTTTTTGTGATTTTTATTTTGATTATTATTATTTTTTTTTTGTGACAACCTAATAACTTAATTCCTTCAATTTGTCACAACACAGATCTATTGTGTAGAACAGAGTATTTTTCACTGTGTGTTTAAGAAAAAAGGCCCTCAGTGGCTTCTCCTTCCACAGCAAAATCCATTTTTCTTTTTGGTATTGTGCACCAGGATGTGACGATTTTGTTTTTATTGACTTAGTGGATGGTAACAGTGTTTTATTCGCAAAAATTGTATGCGATACAGTGGTCCCTCGTTAATTGTGGGAGTTACGTTCTAAAAATAACTCGGAATAGGGGAAATCCGCAAAATAATCAGCTTAATTTCATTCATTCATTCATTCATTCATTCATTTTCTTGACAGCTTAGTCCCTTTATTAATCCGGGGTCGCCACAGTGGAATGAACCGCCAACTTATCCAGCACGTTTTTACGCAGCTGATGCCCTTTCAGCCGTAACCCATCCTTGGGAAACATCCACACACACACACATTCACACACTCACTCATACACTACAGACAATTTAGCCTACTCAATTCCCCTGTACCGCCTTTGGACTGTGGGGGAAACCGGAGCACCCGGAGGAAACCCACGCAAACGCAGGGAGAACATGCAAACTCCACACAGAAACGCCAACTGAGCCGAAGCTGGAACCAGCGACCCAGCGACTTTCTTGCTGTGAGGTGACAGCTCTACCTACTGCGCCACTACGTCGCCCCAGCTTTATTTTTTTTCTCGATTATTATAGATGCTTTATGGCTGTAAAACCGAAAGTGATGAACCGAAGCTTTTATTTATTCTGTAAAAGTGCCCTACAGCTGTGTAACTTCTACCTTTCCATTAGCATGTCTAGAATTACAACTATTTGTGCGATGATTAGCATCTTCCTCTGCCTTTTGGGTGCTACCACAGGTGCCTTTGAGGGTGCAGAATATTTCGCCGACATTGTGGGGAGAAAACTTTAAACATACTGTATAGCACTTGAGTCACACTGCAAGTGATTAAAGCTTTATGTATATTTGGCCAGCTGAACACATTCTGTATTGTACTGGATACTTTAAAATGTAAATAAAATAAACAGTACTATCCATGCGGTCAGTGTTTATCAGCTATTAATTCATTGAATTTACAGAAACAGTACTATATTGTGATGTATCAGGATATGAGAAGACTTGTTTTGTTATACGTTGTTTTTGTCATATCTCTTAGACTGAAATGTTGTATAAAACAATTACGAATAAAGAACCGTTTACATCAAGTAAGTCAGAAAATGGGCACTTCCTAATAAACATGGTGGCAGGTATCAAAAAGAAAACTGGAATTCACTACGTCTCCAATAAACAGTTTTATGTGCTATAACAAGATGTGCACAAAACTAGGAGTATTTGTTCACAATTGGAGCTAAAAGTTGAACAATGAGTCTTCTTTGCTCATATTTTCTAACGAGGCAAATGTTAGTTGAGGCCACTGAAGGTCCCGCTGGCATTAACAGAGTAAATATGCACTGTTGTAAATTGTCCTGTCTCTGTGTTCAGGTGTTTGCGTGGGGCTGCGGCTCGTGTCTCGGCTGCGGCTCATCTGAAACCACATCGCTCAGACCTCGACTGATAGAAGAGCTCAGCATCACTAAAATCATCGACATTTCATGTGGAGACAGCCATTGTCTCGCTTTGTCTCATGGTGAGAGGGATGGGATGGGAAAGATGGGACTGAAAAATGTAGAGAAAAAAAAAGAAAGAAATTATATGTGTAGTTCTCTATTTAATATAGTATTTGATGTGTTAAACATTTAATTGAGTTGAGTTGAGTTGAGTTCAATTTGTTTTTAGTTCAGATCCATTAAATTCAGTTCAGTTTAATTCATTCTAATTTATTTACACAGAATTTTAAGCTTATTTAAAATATGTTGTATTATTTAATATATGTAGTTCATTTTATAGCTTATTGTGGGAGTTTCATTTATTACTGATGTTTTGAACATCAAATGCTCTAGAATTATGCTCTAAATGCTCAAAGAAAGCACAAAATATGTTAAAACATAACACTAGTAAAACAGAAAATGCACATTTTATTTTGGGTTTAAAAATAAATTAAAGTGAAAAGCTGAAAATAATAGCTTATAATATTATAAATAATAATACAATAAAAGTTAGGCTCAATAAAATGCAGATTTAGAATATAGAAGTTTGTAAAAGCTGATATTTTATGGATTTTATTTAAATTTTAGACTTTTGTGTGCTTTTCGAATTAAAATATTCTTGCAGCCTTTATTTAATGAAGCAAAAGTAAACATTTTTAAATTAAATAAAAGTGGTTTACTATACTCCCAGATTGTTAATTGTCAAAATAAATTTCACAGATCAATTCTACATTTTTTTTTTTTCTTTTGAAAATTATTAAATAATTTCATTGCTTTGTGTTACAGAAAATGAGGTGTTTGCTTGGGGCAACAATGCCATGGGTCAGTGTGGGCAGGGCCACACCTCAACGCCTGTCACCAAACCCAAAAAGGTGATTGGTCTAGAAGGAGTGTCAATCCAGCAGATCACAGCAGGCACCTCCCACAGCCTGGCCTGGACTGCTGTTCCTACAGACAGGTGAGAAGACCGTTTCATTAGTCCTGATGAGGGATTTCAGGTCTTTTCCACAATACATGTACTGTATTTCATAATGTCCTTTATCGGTAGGCCTATCGTTGAGTCTATTTATTTATTTATTTATTTATTTATTTATTTATTTATTCATTTATATTTGTGTGAAAATGAATAAATTAAATGATAATACTAATTACTGAAAAAAATTACTTAAATTATTAAAAACTGAATAAAAGATAATAATTAATAATTTCAGTAATATTATTGACTAATATGCACATTTTTTATATGATTCATTGACAATACAGTTTGTTTGTTAGAATATATATTGTATTATATGAGAGACTTTGTTTACCAAACTAGTGGACCTTATTGGATTTATACTGTTAACCTTAAATACATGTTAAATATGGCGTTAATGTTTTTCATATTTTTCACTCCCAAATAATTATTCCACATAAATTAGCAGATTTTGTTTTACAATATTTTGTGCAGAAATAAAAAAAAATATCCTTGTATTCTGTCTGGCCCTACTCATTAGTTATAAATAATAATAATAATAATAATAATAATAATAATAATAATAATAATAATAATGAAAACTTTAACCTCCTGATCTTAACCTAAACCAATAGCAGTTTGTCCTTAAATGAGTTAGAGCGTCACAGAAATGACAACTTGTCCTATTTGTTATGCAAATCAAAACCTGCATAGCTCCATCTGGTTTCTCTGCTGATGTGTTAATAAAATACAATTTACATTTTCCATCATTTAAAGTTGTGTAGCTGGGATTGCTTTCCTATTATGTAGTGCTGCACGATGTTAGAAAAATCTGACATTGCGATATTTTGTTTTCCTGCAATATATATTACGATTTGAATATAGATGTAATTCACCAGATGATTTGAAAAGCTCTATTTGGGAAGATTTTATTAATTTTGAAAGTGAAATAAACAGTGCTTTATGTTTTTTTCTGGGGAGTTTAACAGTATTCAAGTACAGAAATTGAACAATCAAACGTGAAATAACATGTTCATCATTTTGTAAATAATTAAGAATTGTATACTTTTAATAATATCTTTATCTTTTAACCTTTAATAAATAATCTAATCTTGCGAAGTAACTGTAATAAGGAAGTAAAAGTAATTGTTCAGCCCTTCTATCATAAGTAAATGTGTGTTTATATGTGTTTGTGTTTTGTGCGTTTGGCAGGCAGCTGGTGGCTTGGCACAGGCCGTTTTGTGTGGATCTCGAGGAGAGCACCTTTACGTATCTGCGCAGTTTTCTGGAGCGTTACTGCGACAGTATCAGCGGAGACACACCGCCTGCACCTTTCCCCTCTAAGAGGTGAGATGTGGATATATTTAGGTTGGTTTTAAAAACATGATAAACTGAAGTAGAATTAAGAAAAATTATTTGATGTACATATACCATCTTATTGTGCCCCTATTATGGATTATAAAAGGCCATAGTTTGGTTTGGGGGTCCCGACAATAGGCTGATATGCATGCTAGGTCAAAAACAATTTCATTGTCTAACAATATAGCTGTAGACTGCAAACTTCAGATGATGTAATGTTGCTGTGATATTTTCTGCTATTTTCTACCAATAGCTCTGAATAAATAGAGTTCCACGTTAATGATTCCATTAAATTAAATAATTTTATTTAATTTAAAAAATAATTTAATTTAATTTAATTTTTTTTATTTTTTATTTTAATTTTTACTTTCATTTTATTTTAAATTTTTATTTAAATTAATTTTAATTTTAATTAATTAATTAATTTATATATTTATTTATTTTATTAACTTAAATTGAATGAAATTTAGTGTTTGTTTTTGTTTATTTTTATTTCACTTGAATTCCTATTTTATTTTAATACATTTTAATTCATTTTATTTTTATTTTATTTTATTTTTTATTAAATGTTTGTATTTAATTTAATTTTCATTTAATTTAAATTTAATTTTATATATTTTATTTTATAGGCAAATGTCCTGATTGCTGTTATTCATATATTGTAGTTCTTTAGAAACCTTTATTACAATTCCCTAAATTTCTTTAACTACTTTTGGGTAGATTAGTTTAATACATAGCAACATTTAAACAACTGCAAATAAGTCCCTTAACAGCCACCTAGCACACCCTAGCATTAGCATGGGTTTGCAAGTAATCTGCTATACCTGTGTCTATGTCAGCTGCTGAAATGACTCTCATCTAGCAGGAATGTGACAAACACTCAAAGCTGCAGGGGTAACTGGCACAGACCCATTATCATCTCCATACCCACAGGGCTGGGGTCAGAGCAGCATATGGCCTGGCACTCACTAAAGGTCACTCGTCTTCAAACTTCTCATTCTCACCCTCTCTGTTTCTTTCCAGGGAACATCACCAGTTTGTGTTGTTGTGTATGAAACTGTTGTCTATCCACCTGTCGCTGGCACATGCCGGCGGGACGGGGGCCACAGTGCTGGGTGCTCAGGGTCGTCCCCTTAGGAACCTGCTCTTCAGACTCATCGACTCCAATGTACCGGAATCCATACAACAGGTCTGGCATGAACCACTTGATATGTTATTTCACTTGATATGAGGTTTTTCAATCCTCAATAATTTGAATGTTTACATTTATAAATTACAATTGAAGTACTTTATATCTATATACATTGAAATTATTACCAAGGCGTAGCATAGAAATTGAAAACAGGAAAGGACCTAAGAGAGATCCATGTAGCACTCCTATATACAGTACACACACACATATATATATATATATATATATATTTACTAATGGTGTAATGGATCTGCCCGTGCACACCAAGAAGGTTTTTTCTTACGTTTTCCGTTGATGTTTGATGCCTCGTGACTAAATAAAGGGCATCAATGTGATCATGCCAACCAACGCTCAAAACGACAGACGTAAAAGTGTCATTTTTAAAAAAACGCCCTATGCTTGTTTTTTTGCTATGAAGCGCCACGTCAAAACCTTCTTCAGCAATCAGATTTACACTATCCGCTTGTTAAGTGGTGACGTGTTTGTGACGTATGTCATACTGTTTCCGGGTCCAAGCCGCCATTCATTGGAGTGGAGAAATCATTCGTTTATGATCACGTTTTATTCCTATCACACATTAAAGTAAATTTTATATAAAATCAAAGTGTACACAACAATCTCTGGGCTTGCTGCATAACAAATATCAAAAATGTAACAATTTATAAAAAAATAAGTCACTTTCTGGCCATCGTATATTAGGCATGGACATATATACTGCATACTGCGATCGTGATTTTCGAAAGCATTAAATCGTTTTGTAAAACTTTATTATTACCATTTCATGAGTCTCCCCATTCAGTTGAATAGAGCGATTGGACCCGGGAGCCACTTCGCGTGACGTCACACTTAACTACCGGATTGTTCACATGCACAAAGCTGCTGAAGTTGCAGTAAACAGCACTTGGAGGCGCTCAAGCGCAAAACTGTCAATGCGAGCACACATTAACGAAGATGCTCAGAGGCATGGAGCTGCTAATTGCAAAGCAAGTGAAAATAGCTTTGGTTTGAACGAAACGTCTTGATTTGGTTTGGAAAAACGTCTTGATAAATGCAAACAAAAAGAGTCCCGGCCTTTAGAATCATGCCATTTTTTTGTATCAGCAAAAAAGGAAACTTATGTAATTTGCTTTCCGTTTTTTACAAAAACAATACTGCAAAAAACGTTTCGTTTTAACCAAGCAGCAACATCCTGCTCTCCCTCGTGAAGCAAATATGGAAATAACACTGCAAAAAAATCCCAAAATATGGAAAAAAAACTGCAATTCATTGACTCTCCTTTAGGGGCTGACTCCCGGAAGTCCAGATGTCCACTGACTGCAGTGCTAAATTGGCCAATTTTACAGCTAATAAAAACATGTTTACAGCCTGGGACAAAATATGGTTTTGGTTCATATAGCTAACATTACCCTTCATGACAACTGTGAGGGGGGTGAATTTTTTTTTATAACTCATCTGTTTCGTTTTATTAAGTTATATTAGGTCTGCATAATTAAGGGCGTGTTCACTTGAGTGACAGCTAGGCCTCGCTGGTCTCCGTCATGTCATTCTGGCTGATTAGCTGCTGAACTTGAAGCATATAAATCATGTTTTTGTTTTATGTGCCTTTACACAGTCAATTGCCTTTTGGAATTATTTCCTACAATTATCAGATAATATGGCATGCTGTGTGCACTTAATTGTGCTCGAAAACCATTCAAGTTGCCTCCATTTCCCAGTTGAGTGAAATTCTTATATACCTATCATATCTATAAATGCATTTGTTTTATTTAAGATTATTTATCATTTATAATTGTCTTTAGAGCTGTAATGCACTCCAGAATCTTGATCAGCTCTAGGCTATAGAACAGTCCACTGAAACGTTGTCATACAGTGTTATGCCTGGATTTCATAAATAGCTTTGCATTTACTACCACAGACTCTATTTGAAGTATTTGGAATTAATTTTTGTTTTCTTTGTGGCTCAATGTATTACAACAGTGTTTTTAAAAGACTAAACACTTTATTGATATAGTGTACAACCAAGCACATGTGGTCAGAACACAAACAAGTTGCAGGTAATGAAGTATTAAGTGTTTCTCCCCAAAAAAGCCCATCTGAGCAAAATGCTAGCAGGCATCTGTAGCTCCGCTCACGATCCGCCTCTTTGCTCTTGTTCGGTGTCCCCAGTCAGTGTGATGACGCGGAAACAAAATAGCAACAGTTATCCAGGTGTACTTTTAGCTTCAAAAACCTAGTTGGTGACTTCACGGATACTACGTCAATATTTTTTACAGTCTATGCTTTTAACAAACATAACCTAGAACCTGTAATATTAATACAAAATGCTTAAAATCAAGAAATAACCAGCTGAATAAAAAAAGTTGAATATTCAATTCCACATGAAAACTGATCTTTGCTAGTTTTCTGATAATGTGGAGTTTATAAATCTAGCATCATCATGTTGTACAATACATCATATTTATTTTTAGTCTCATTTTCTAGTTATGATTCAATAATTTGCTTATAAAACTTCTTGGTTCATTACTTAATGTGTCATTTTTGAAAACTGTCCGTTATTATAGTATTAAATCCTTCAGTACTAATTTTTGATGGTTGTTTGTTGTCACATATTGGTTAAATAATGTAATTGCTCCAACTTTGAGCAGCGTCAAGTTGCATAAAAGGGAGATTTTAATCTTTATCATAAACTTCAGTGTTTATATCTGAACTATTAACTGTTCTCCTAGTGCTTCTGTGTATTTTGATTGTTTGTAACTTTGTAACTAACCTAAAAAAGTAAAAATAAACACTTGCAAATCACCACCATTTATTAATTATGTTGTGTGGGTGTTGAGATCCCGATCTTTTAATGATCAATAATAATCTAGACTTAACAAGTAGTGATAGAAAACAACTTTAATAACCTACAATGGTGCCCCCACAGTATACTTCTGTCATCAGTATATTTTAGAGATTTGAATGACGCAGTAGGCGATCTCTATGCAACCGCTACAAATGTTGGATTAATCTATAAGAAAAAAAGCAATTCAACTTTAGTTGTGATCTGTCCGTTAAACCCCTACTACTGCTTTTTTTGGGGAAATTGGTGCAAATGTATTAACATAAATGTAAGTTTTAGGCATTTTGAAAGCTACTTTGACATTTTTATAAAGCAGTATAAGCACACTTGCTTTTTTATTTTAAAACTTGACTTAAAGGCTCATTTACAGTACGCTGCATTCTAATAGCTTTTAACACACAGTCAATGCTTTTGGACTCTTAAGATTTTCTTTAGCTCACACATAGTTAAAACAACAATTACGGTATTATCATAGACCATAAATATTGCACACCCTACCATACAGTATTTAAAACATACACTCCAGGAGTGCAGTGTATAATTACTAACTCGCACAACTACAGTAAACAACTTAAACCATTCAAATTGCTTACATATGCAGCTGGAGTTTCGCCCACATGCTGAAAGCACTAAGATGGTGGTGTCTGTTGACTTTGTTTTTTTCTTTGAGGGAGTTTGCAAGAGACACGACTTTTCACAACCCTCAAACTAACCGTTTGGACTGAGTCATCTGACAGAACGCCAGTAAATGAGTCATTCCTACACAATGGTAGTTAATTAATGTTTGTTTTCGTGTGTGTTCATTTAGGCAGTAATAAGCACGCTGTCTATGGGAGCATCTCTGTTGCTGCCTCCTCTCAGGGAGAGAACGGAGTTGCTGCACTCGCTCTTACCTCAGGGCCCGGAGAGCTGGGAGAGCCTCTCTAAAGGACAGGTAATCAAGCATACAACAACTGCTACAAGTCTCTAATGTTCTACTAAAGTAAAAATGTAAGATTGGTCTTTTTTTTTTTGTTTTTTTTTTTTTTTTACCTCAAACTGTTGTTCTTTGGTGACTCATTTGTAAGCCAAATTTAAGTCTACCAGCACTTTGAGACAAAAAAAAAAATCACCAAAATTAATATCCTGAAATCACTACAGGAGATTGTCTCAAATCTTCTGATACAGACAGAATTACTTTGAAGAAAAAATGTGATTGCAACGACCAATAATCATCTGTTAGTGAACATTTTAAACTAGCAAAAACTAAATCATGGCCAAAATCACACAGTCTGAACCACTTTAAATATGAATATTTTTTCTATAGTGCTCAATAATTTGCACATGTACAGGGTGGGCCATTTATATGGATACACCTTAATAAAATGGGAATGGTTGGTGATATTAACATATTGTTTGTGGCACATTAAGAATTGTGAGGGGGCAAACTTTCCAAGATGGGTGGTGACCATGGTGGCCATTTTGAAGTCGACCATCTTAGAACCAACTGTTGTTTTAAGTAAAACTGCCGAACTGCAGTTAAAGTCACCCAAAATTACAGGAAACTATTACATGAAAGCACTTCACGCAAACACCTTATTTATATTTTTGTCTATTAAGGCAAATAACAAGACTACAGATGTCCATGTAAACATAGTCAGTAGTGTCTTTGAAGTAAGTGAAAGATCCAGAAGGGCATCCTGCTTATTTGATTAAGATGGGCATTTATATGTCAGATGGTTCACCGGTCAGGTATACATCCACGCTAAAATATCAAGGTGAAAGTCATTATAGCTTGCGTAGAATAGACACAGATCCCAACCCAACTTTGAGAATAGATTGACGGCGCAGCACGTTCACGCCGATAATGGCCCACCACTAATATATTATATTATATTATATTATATTATATTATATTATATTATATTATATTATATTATATTATATTATATTATATTATATTATATTATATTATATTATATTATATTATATTATACTATATTATATTATGTTTTATTATATTATATTATATTATGTTTTATTATATTATGTTTTATTATATTATATTATATTATATTATGTTTTATTATATTATATTATATTATATTATATTATATTATATTATATTATATTATATTATATTATATTATATTATATTATGTTTTATTATATTATATTATATTATA